AACCCATGTGTGTTAAGAGTAGAACTGTGGGTTGGCCATGACTAAGGTCTCAAAATTAGACTAGCAGGTTGTTCTTCCACCTTGAACGGAGGCCAATTCTTTCATTAGCAGTCAAGTACGCTCATCATTTGCATGGGTCCTGGAGAGGGACCTGGAGATCGGGAAGAGGGTGGAGCAGAAGAAACAAAGAATCCTATGATCTGTTCACTGACCTCCAATGTCAATTTTCCTAGTTTGGACAACGGTTTCTGGATTCCATTGAAATGGGCATTTGCCATCGTTTCTTAGCAAAACTTAAATAGATAGACATACTCTTTTCTTATCTTTCTGGTGTCTCCGGTGTTCTCTGTAGTTTACACATTTTCCTTTCTAATCTCCCGACATAGCCAAATTGGACCCCGGGTGTCTCTGAGAGGCACCCTGCCCATCACCTCAGCCTGGATGGGGAGGCACTTACATTGCTTTCTGCTAGTTGCCACAGCAATTTCATGTACAATTAAGTATTTCACTGCTAACCCCACACTAGCTCGCTTTGAAGCCTGCTAGAAGTCCAAGTAAATTATGTCCGTGGCTTCACCCAGCGGTTACGTTGTCACTGACTCAGAGATTAACCCCGCTGGTTAAGCCTGCCTGCCTTTGTGTGAATCTATCCCTATCCAATTTGTATATTTCCAAGTGTTCAGCCTTAACCCCTGATCAAGGATTATAGGTTCTTTTGCAGTTACTAGATGGTTTTAGCGGTATGTGGTTATCGGTGTAATTCTTAAATTTAAAGCTATACACGGATAGAGAACTTGCTGTGTCCCCATAAGCCCTTATCTGTACTTTTTTAAAAAGACAAAAACAAACCCAAACCTTGTCACATGTACTTTCTTTCCATGCCGGCCCTTATTTCTCCTCTTTCCCCTGCAATTTCCTAATTATTGGTCCTTGTTCCCTGTAAAACAATCTGTAATATTTATTCTATTCTCCTGCTGTCATCGCTTAGACATTTCTCTGCCTCCAGGGCAGAGTGCAGGCTCTTGTTTGTTTTCTCCAGTATCTCAGCGAGCACAAAAGAACCCTTTGTTCCTCAGAGAATTCTCTCAGCTGACAGACCTGGCAACACACCTCAAGGCTCATCCTTCCTTATTGTGAGCTTTCTGTCACGTGAGCGCTGCTTTCCACTGACAGAACAGGCTGCCTCGCTCACATTCCTTGGCTTGAGATTTATGGGACAGGGTCATGGTTTGAGAGGAAATTTCATGCGTATTCTCCTGATAGTCTGTAGCTGAATCCCGTCTTTTTGGGACTGTCCCAATATTACACTCGAGAAACTATTTCCAGAGCATCCCAGGAGTGAAAGTTCTGTCAGAAGACAACCCCCCCTCCCCCTCCCAGGCTTCTGCACCCTGCCAGGGCAGGAATTCCTGGTGTTCACAGTGTGACGCATAGTAGCCTCAGTCAGCCTGCAGTGCGTTCTGAGCCAGATCGATGGCAGACTTCATCTCACCTTCATTTCCAGCACAGAGTGCTGTTCACTCTGTGATACGCCTGGAAGCTTTCTGGGAAAGAAAACAATGTCCTTTCCCAGGGAATCAGACACTGTTTTCCTACAATATTTGCCTTTACGCATTTTCTCAACTGTTATTATAGTCAGGCCAACCTCAGCATCCACGTTAAATAAATGCTATTGCCATCACTACACAGAGGCAAGAAAGGGCTTGTGGAAAGGTAGTTGGGCAGGCAGGCTAGTCCACTGAGCATATGGATTATACAAGTATAAACAGAAGTAGACATTTCCTCTGGAGTGTTCTTTCCCACTTGCAAAATTTGAATTGTGATATAAAAAACCTTCCAAAGGTTCCAGGTGCCCATGCCCATCTGTGCCATCATAAGGCCCCCATGCTGCATCTCTGATGGGCATCCCATGCCCCCCGCAACAACATCACCTGTCTTTCTGAGCAATTTCTCCTTCTTGGATGCCTGCAACAGCCGGAGCCTATGGTTGAAAATTAGCTCCGATAAGAGGAAGGGCCTGGAATGCAGAAGCCACTGAGATTGAGGACATCTGGCACTGGAAAAGGGTGCATAACGGGAGAGGCCGAAGTGCCTGGGCCCTGCGTAGGGAGCGCCCAGGCAAAGTGAATCGTCCCTCAAACAGCGGCACAAATCCCACAAATGACAGGCAGAGCCTTGCGTTCCTCTTGACATGGAAGAAAAGCTGTACATCAATGCCTGGGAGAGAAAGCCTGAGTGCCCAGGATGAAGTCAACAAGAATCTGGACAACTCCAGGGACAGAAGGCATTGGCCTTGAAAAGCGGAGTCAAGAAGGCTGGAAATAACAATGAAAGATGAGGGGAGTTCGAGACAAAATCTCAGAACCGTCAGGAAAGCATCACAGATGAGAGGAAAGGGTGAGTTTACTTGTAGGGAAGGACACTTTCTAAGTCAATAGCTCACTTCAAAAACTGGTTTTATAAGGATCAGAGTTACAAAAACGGTCTTTCACTTTGTTATAAAAATGTATACAATCTAAATTAACAAATAAGCAAGCAAACCCATGGCCATCGAGTCCATTCTGACTCACTGTGACCGCCAGAGGACCATGTGCCATATGGGATTTCCATGGCAGTAATCGCTATGGAAGCGGACTGCCCCAGCTTCCTCTCACAGAAGCTGGTGAATCCGTGCTTTAACCACTGTGCCACCAGGGATACTAATTTTCACACACCATGTACAAGTTATTTGTGTAAAAATTCAGTAACTCTCTCTCATTTTATCCTTTGTCTTTTTTATGTTAAAGGTTACCATCAGTACTGTGCGTGGTGAAGCCACTGGAGAAATCTGCCAATTAAGAGAATTCCCTTTCTTGTTCCTGAATCAGAAGAGTGTGGTTACGTTCTCAGAGACCTGGCTCTCCTCCTGGCCCAGGGACCTGGCTTGGTTTCACCCAGAAGGGACTCTAGCCTTAGAATATCTTCACAGGGAGGCTGTTCTTTGGGAGATAGCCATGGTGTACTTGTATTTAACATGCCTAAGGTGTTCTTTTCTATTTCTCATAGTCTTCAGTTAAAAAAGGTGCCAACATTAAATGGTATAAGCAAAGGCCTCTAGTGGTTTCCAAGTTTCATATGGTTCCATCTGAAATACAGAGGTCAGGTGAATCTAAGCAATTTGAAGAATGATATTTTATATAGTAAGATTTCAAATGAACAAGATAAAAATTCTACCCCCAAAGCAATACCGTCACAAACTAGAATGTTTGCTTTATTTTTTAAATACAGACAGAGAGAGAATGAAGCTTACAGAAACTGTAAAAATAGATCACACTTAAAACATCTATTCCTATACTTACGTGAAATACGTTCCCGACCTTTAGTGTACTTTCTAATTTTTTTTTGCTAGGCAATAAACAGTATTTCACTTTTAGTTTCTGTAATCCTGGTAGGTAATATCTAATTAAGAAATATTTTCTTCCTAACACACTCCTAGAAAACCATGGCTGTATCCAAGAGAACAGCCTCCCTTTGAAAACAATCTTCAAGGTGAAACCAAACCAGGTCCCTGGGTCAGGAGGAGAGCCAGGTCTCTGAGAATGTAGCCACACTCTTCTGATTCGGGAATAAAGAGAATTCTCTTAATTGGCAGATTTCTCCAGCGGCTTCAACATTCACAGTACTGATGGTAACCTTTACAAGATAAAGGTTAAGATGAGGATGCTACTGTATTTTTATGCAATGTGTCTGCTATTCATTAAAAATAAGCCTACGCAACCCCTTTGGTGTTTGTTTCCCGTGTTTCCTTTGTGCATTGTGTGTGTGCGCACACTATTTCCATGGGCCCATTACATGTGAAAAATATGGCATTGCTAGTGATGAAATGGAAACAAGAACAAGGAAGTAGAAATGACCAAGTTTCCAGTGACTGAAATGTTGCATCTGGTTATGATTCTGGAGTGGTTGTCTGGAAAAAATAAAGGAAAGGGAAGCTGGGGGTCTAACCCAGCCAACACACATGGAGGGATGAAGAGTACAAAACAGAGTATGCTGTAGCATGTAAAAGAAAGCCGGCAGGTCTTAAAAGCTTGAAGTTAAACAAGCAGCCATCTAGCAGGGAAGCAACAAAGCCCACATGGAAGAAGCACAGCAGTCTGTGTGATCATGAGGTGTTGACAGGTCAGGTTATCCGGCATCAGAAGATCCAAAACAACCATTTCAATGTGAACGAGGGGGGTTAGAATGGAGACCCAAAGCCCATCTGTACACAATTGGACATCCCCTCACAGAAGGGTCCCAAGGAAGGGACAAGCCAGCCAGGGTGCAGTATAGCACCGAGAAACACACGGTATTCCTTTAGTTCTTTAATGCTTCCTCCCCCCCCCCCCCCACCCCCACTATCACGACCCCAGTTCTATCTTACAAATCTAGCTAAACCAAAGCAGGTACACTGGTACCGATAAGAGCTCTCGACATACAGAATCCAGGACAGATAAATCCCTCAGGGGAAGGTGAGGGGAGAAGGGGGTGAAAGGGGGAACCCAGCGCAATGATCGACATACAACAACCCCTCACCCCAGGGAGATGAATAATGAAATGTGGTTGAAAGAAGATAGCAGCTGGTTTAAGATATGAAAATAATAATAATTTATAAATTATCACGGGTTTACAAGGGTGGGAGGTCGAGGGAAGGAGGGGACAAAAGAGGAGCTGATATCAAGGGCTCAAGTAGATTTTGGAAATGATGATGGTAACATATGTACAAATGTGCTTGATATAACTGATGTATGGATTGGTATAAGACCTGTAAGAGCCCCCAATAAAATGATTTATTAAAAAAAAGAAAAGAAACGAAAGAAAGAAAGCGGGTGGTTGGCCATTATACAAAGTCAGCAAAAAACAAACAAATCCACAAATGCACAAAGGATGTGAACATTTCTTCAACACTAAAGTAGATACACCCCAGCATAAAGTTGTGCACTCACTTCCTGGATTGTCTTCTGGGCCAACACTAGACTTACCTTTCACAAACAAGAGGCCGAGACTCATTCATGACAGGACCCAGGGAAGAACAGGGCTGACGAGGAGGGGGTGCAATGGGAACCGTAGAGTCCAGAGATCCTGTCTTTGAATGCAGAGTGTCCGAGGCCAATGCTGCTATGCCTGCGGGACTATCCCCGTCTGTGGGGCAGGAGACAGCTCGGCTGTGGCTGCCCCCTAGTGGCAGCTCAGGGCCAATTGCTCCCTGCAGGGCCAACTCGCCAGAGGCACCCAACTCCACTTCCATGGTAGGAGATGCCGGAGGAGATAACCTGGGCTTACGTTTGGTGGAAGCTCCAGAAAGCAGCTTCAACAACCCCTTCTTTTCTTTCTAGGAGGAGAAGAAAAAAATTACACACACACACAGGCTTCAAGGTGATTGTGCAAAACAGAATCCAAGGAGAATGGAATTTTCCCACACTTGAAGGTCTTTTCATGTACACACACATACTGTGTTACATTACTGTAAATATGCGTGAGGAAAGATGACATGGAGAGATAGTAGCATTTTTCTTTGAACTCGCTGAAAGCCCTCTGCTTATTATTAGTTGGAGATGGACATCACTGCCACTGTTGCAATCTACAAAACCCTACTATTTCTATTTTTAATGGATCTTTTAAAGCAGTTTCTCCCAATATTTGGCTGTTGATGGTCTAGCTACTAATATCTGTGGGTGTTAATTGGATCTCTTGCTTCTCTCTCCTCTCTATCGTGGCCACGTTTTAATTTGTTTGGAACATTCCATTATTCATTACTATCTTCTACTGAGGTAGGATTTCAAACCCCAAACCTAACCCCTGTTATTGAGTCAATATTGGCTCATTGTGATCCCATAAAGAGTTTCCGAGGCTGAAAAACTTTATGAACAGACCTCATCTTCCTCCAGAGGAGCAGTGGGTGGATTAGAACTGCCAACCTCATGGTTAGCACACAACAGTGCCACCAGGGTTCCTTGAGGTACAGTAAACAGCTCTAAAAAAAAAATTTTTTTTTAAACATCAAACTCATTAATTCATATGTTGAGTTTGATTAAAAGAGGGGTAGACATTTTAGGGTAAAAGAAAATTTCATGTTAAAGATTTTATTTTCTGAAATAATGTTCTTCTGTCCTATGTCTAGTATTGTAATTGCTGATTGTCTGTGGAATTAACCCTAACCCTAACAGTACTTTACTCTCCAACCAGAGATTTGAGTCTTATCATGTATAGCACTGGTGCCCTGGATCAGCTTTAACAATGAAACTATTTCTCACATGTTACCATCTTGATTAAAACTTAACAAGCCAATAATAACAGTGGTCAAACCATTTCTATAGTTTAAGGACATTCCTGATTAGAAAGCTAAAGGCACCCCCACGACATTTTAAGGAAAATGTTGGTATCTCCATAAACATGTTTTGTGTCCTTTTCTTCTGCCAGAGCTGAGCGTTCACTGATATTTCCCCCACAGACCCCATTCTCTCAAATCTTTGTCTTGTTTGACTCATTCCTTCTTTGTCCCAGTATTACCACCATATCCAAAGCTCTCCTTCATTCCCAAACCCTAAGCTTTAGGGGTTCTCTCTGATGACCAGACATAGGTAACAATCATAAATTTAAACTATATCATTCAGTCCTTTGAATGAAAACATTGGTAGAAGATAAAAGCACTTCAAAGAAAAAGAATTCTTTATAAAATTCCATTAGCAAAACAAAACAAAATAAAACAAACTTTACGGGAAAATAGGAATTACTAAGGCCAATTAACAAGGAAATTAAAAATGTGAAAAGTTCACAAGGAGCTAAAACACGGGAATTTGGAGGTGGGGAGAATATAGGTTACTGTATATACTTGTGTATAAGCTGAGTGTTTCAGCACATTTTTAAATGCAGTTTTGTGGCAAAATTAGGTGCCTCAGCTGATGATCAGGCCAGCTTATACTCAAGTAAAAATGGTCGTTCAGATTCAGTAAATACCCTTTGAACCTATGAGCTCACAGGCTCAATAAAGGCAGAATGGCTGAAAAACCGCAAAGAAACAAAAGCATAATTTATTAGCTGCTATACAGGAACCCCAGGGAAACTGTGCCACATTTCATTACTGTTAGTACTAGGTGCCAGAGACTCGGTTCCGACTCGCAGCTGTCCTACGCAGGGCAGATGAAACTCTGCTCAGTCTTGCATCACCCTCGCACTTGATGCTATGTTTGAGCTCACTGTTGAAGCACCGTGTCAATCCATCTCACTGACGGGCTTCCTCGTTTCACTGACCCTTTATTTTAACAAGGCTGTTTTCTGTCCTTCTCCAGGGACTGGGCCTCCTGATTACGTGTTCAAAGTAAGTGAGATAAGTCTTGCCAAACTCACTTCCAATTCGGTTGTAATTCTTTTATGACAAGAGCTGTTCATTCTTCTAGTAGCCAATGTTTTATTCAATATTCTTCACCAACATCCTAATTCGAAGACATCAAGTCTTCTTTGATCTTCTTTATTCACAATTCAGCTCTCAGGGAATTGCCTCATTCATGCATGTGATGCAAATGAAAATACCATGACTTGCATCAGGTATACCTTAGTCGTCAAAGTCACATCTTGGCTTTTTAAAACCTTAAAAAGATTGTTAGAAGCAGATTTGCCATGCAATACTTCATTTGATTTCTTGAGAGCAGCTTCCTTGGGAATTGATTGTGGATCCACATAAAATGAAATCTTTGATAACTTCAATCTTTATTCTATTCGTCAACAAGTAATTTATTCACCCAGTTGTGAAGATTGTTGTTTTCTTTGTATTGAGTTGTAGCCCATATTGAAGGTTGGTCTTTGATTTTAGCAGTAAGTGCTTCAAAAAGTTCTCTTTGGACACCAGCAAGCAAAGTTGTACCAACTGCATATCACAGGTTGTTAAAGAGCTTTCCTCCAATCCCAATGCCCAAATTCTTCATATAGTCCAGATTCTCTGAATACTTGCTCAACATACAGATAGTGTGAAATATGGTTAAAGGCTACAACTCTGACACACATTCCCTAATTTAAATCACAGTACCCCTCCCTGGCTCTGTCTGAACAACTACATCATGAACTCCACTTACCGAATGCTGAACACGTACTTTTTAACCCGGAAACAGGGAGGGTGATTAGAATCAGACTGTCACCAGGTCTCTTTTTTCTGAATCAGCTCTAGGCGGCCTCAATACACTAATCTTTTAGTTAGTACTCAAGCACTTAACTGCTGGCTTCACCTAGGGATTCCTAGGTACATGCTGGGGGTGTTAAAGCTATCTCTGTGCCATATCATACTGTAGATGAGCAGAGCTAACAAGACACACACACACACACACACACACACACACACACACACCACACACGCTTGGGGTGTTAAAGCCATCGCTGTGCCATATCAGACTGCAGATGAGCAGAGCTAACAAGACACACACACACACACA